AAACCCCGCCTCTACTAAAAATATAAAAATTAGCTGGGCATGGTGGTGCACGCCTGTAGTTTCAGCTACTCGGGAGGCTGAGGCAGGAGAATTGCTTGAACCCAGAAGGCGGAGGTTGCAGTGAGCTGAGATCGTGCCATTGCACTCCAGTCTGGGTAACAACAGCGAAACTCGGTCTCAAAAATAAATAAATAAATAAAACAACTCCTCTATATTCATTTTGATTCTGTTTTTTGAGACAGAGTCTTGCTCTGTCATCCAGGCTGGAGTACAGTGGCTTGATCATAGCTCACTGCAGCCTCTAACTCCTGGACTCAAGTGATTCTTACACCCCAGCCTCCTGTGTATCTGGGACTACAGGTGTGCACTGCCATACCCGTGAGCCACTTCACCCAGCCTGAAAATTTGATTTTCTAAAAAGATGTTATAAAATCAATATGGGCGAGGCATGGTGGCTCATGACTATAATCCTGGTACTTTGGGAGGCCAAGGCAGAAGGATCACCTGAGGCCAGGAGTTTGAGACCAGCCTGGGCAACATAGCATGACCCTGTATTTACAAAAAATTTAAAAATCAGCTGGGGGTGGTGTCACACACCTATAGTCCCTGCTACTTGGAAAGCTCAGGGGAAGGCTCTGCTTGAGCCCAGACCAAGAATGCAGCAAACCAGAATCATGCTACTACACTACACTCCAGCCTAGGTGACAGCAAGAACCTGTCTTTTTTTTTTTTTTTTTTTTTTGAGACAGACTTTCTCTCTGTCACCTAGGCTGCCGTGCAGTGGTGTGATCTCAGCGTACTACAACCTCTGCCTCCCAGGTTCAAGTGATTCTTCTGCCTCAGCCTCCCGAGTAGCTGGCATTACAGGTGCACACACCATGCCTGGCTTTTTTTTTTTTTTTTTTTTTTTTTTTTGACAGAGTCTTGCTCTTTCCCAGGCTGGAGTGAAGTGGCTCAATCTGGGCTCACTGCAACCTCCGCCCCCCTGGGTTCAAGGGATTCTCCTGCCTCTGCCTCCCAGGTAGCTGGGATTATAGGAGCGCACCACCATGCCCAGCTAATTTTTTTTTTTAAAGACTATTCAAGTGCAGTAGTGAGAAGGAGGTAAAGAGTAGAACAAGGAGTTTGATCTGTAACTGACTGTGAACAATCAATTGAGATAACTCACTACCTTCAGACCAGCTGCCCAGCTGATTTTTATATCTTTAGTAGAGACGGGGATTTTGCCATGTTGGCCAGGCTGGTCTCGAACTCCTGACCTCAGGTGATCCACCTGCTTCGGCCTCTCAAAGTGCTAGGATTACAGGCATGAGCCACTGTGCCTGTCCTAATTTTTTATATTTTTAGTAGAGACGGGGTTTCACCATATTGGCCAGGCTGGTCTCAAACTTCTGACCTTGTGATCCATCCACCTCAGCCTCTCAAAGTCTTGGGATTACAGGTGTGAGCCTAGTTTCTTCTTCAAAAGACAGTCTTGGGCCAGGCGCCGTGGCTCACACCTGTAATCCTAGCACTTTGGGAGGCCGAGTCGGGTGGATCACAGGGTCAGGAGTTCGAAACCAGCCTGGCCAACATGATGAAACCCCATCTCTACTAAAAATACAAAAATTAGCTGGGCGTGGTGGTGTGCGCCTGTAGTCCCAGCTACTCAGGAGGCTGAGGCAGAAGAATTACTTGAACCCAGGAGGTGGAGTTTGCAATGAGCCGAGATTGCGCCACTGCACTCCAGCCTGGGTCACAGAGTGAGGCTGTGTCTCAAAAAAAGAAGAAGAAGAAACTAAGTCAGATTTTCAAAATACAGAACAAAGAAATTATTTACCTAGAAAATGTAGTTTCTGGCCGGGCACAGTGGCTCAAGCCTGTAATCCCAGCACTTTGGGAGGTCGAGGCGGGTGGATCATGAGGTCAAGAGATCGAGAACATCCTGGTCAACATGGTGAAACCCCATCTCTACTAAAAATACAAAAAATTAGCTGGGCATGGTGGTTTGTGCCTGCTCAGGAGTCTAAGGCAGGAGAATTGCCTGAACCCAGGAGGCGGAGGTTGCGGTGAGCTGAGATCGCGCCATTGCACTCCAGCCTGGGTAACAAGAGCGAAACTGCATCTCAAAAAAAAAAAAAAAGAAAATGTAGTTTCTATATGAGTCTATTTATTTATTTATTTTCTTACTTATTTATTTACTTACTTACTGAGACAAAATCTCATTCTGTTGCCCAGGCTGGAGTGCAGTAGCTCAACATAGCTCACCGCAGCCCCAGTCTCCTGGGCTCAAAGGATCCTCCTGCCTCAGCTTCCAAGTAGCTAGGATTACAGGTATATATTCCTCCATGCCTGGCTTATTTTTTATTTTTTTTTAAATAGAGATGAGGTCTTGCTATGTTCCCCAGGCTGATTTTAAACTCCGGAACTCAAGTGTTCTTTCCATCTTGGCCTCCCAAAGTGCTGGGAATGTAAGCTTGAGCCACCATGCCCAGCCAAGTCTTAAAATCCAAGTCACAATGGGCTTTTTTTTCTCTGTATTTATGACACTGGCTGAATCCCTCTCTTGGCGATGGTAATAAAATGTACTGTTGACAGAGCTGTGCTGAGCCAGATACTTTATATATACTGCTTTGGTTGACTTAGTTCTCCTTTCTTTCCTGTAACTGTAAAATCCCATTTTACATTTATAGCAGTAAACAAAAAACCAGAGAAGTTTAGAAATTTCCCAGGTCATCCCAGCAATGAAGTGAGAGAACCAAGATTTGCACACAGGAATTTCTGGCTCCAAAGCTTGAGTCCAGCACCAATAATTGACTCTTCCTGGTAGTCAGTTGTCCTGAGGCCCATCCATCATGTTGGATATCAGCCATTTCTTTTTTTTTTTTTTTTGAGATTGAGTTTTGCTGTCGTTACCCAGACTGGAGTGCAATGGCACGATCTCGGCTCACCGCAACCTCCGCTTTCTGGGTTCAAGCAATTCTCCTGCCTCAGCCTCCCAAGTAGCTGGGACTACAGGCACGTACCACCATGCCCAGCTAATTTTTGTATTTTTAGTAGAGACGGGGTTTCACCTTGTTGACCAGGATGTTCTCGATCTCTTGACCTCATGATCCACCCGCCTCGGCCTCCCAAAGTGCTGGGATTATAGCACTGTGCCCGGCCGACATCAGCCATTTCTATAAAGTTTTCTTATTTATTAGTTGCAGGATTTATTGATTGTAGTTACCATTGTTTCTGCTGGAAGCTGGCCAAATGAGTTCCCCTCCTGAGCTTGTGTAAACAGAATCCATCTTGGTCCATCAGGGTAAACTGCACCCTGCAGTGAGCCATCAGATACAATCTGTGTTGGGCTGGGCTGGGTGACTCACACCTATAATTCCAGCACTTTGGGATGCCAAAGCGGGCACATCACCTGAGGTCAGGAGTGAGACCAGCCTGGCCAACATAGTTAAAATCCATCTCTACTAAAAATACAAAAATTAGCTGGGCATGTGGTGGGTACCTGTAATCCCAGCTACTCAGAAGGCTGAAGCAGGAGAATCGCTTGAACCCGGGAGGCAGAAGTTGCAGTGAGCAGCGATCATGACACTGCACTCCAGCCTGGGCAACAGAGTGAGACTCTATCTCAATTAAAAAAAAAAAAAAGGAAGCCCAGTGCGGTGGCTCATGCCTGTAATCCCAGCCCTTTGGGAGGCCAAGGCAGGCAGATCACAAAGTCAAGAGATCAAGACCATCCTGGCCAACATGGTGAAACATGTTCTCTATTAACAATACAAAAATTAGCTGGGCGTGATGGCACACACCTGTAGTCCCAGCTACTGGGAGGTTGAGGCAGGAGAATCACTTCAACCCTGGTGGCAGAGGTTGCAGTGAGCCAGGATCTCGCCATTGCACACCAGCCTGGTGACAGAGCGAGACTCTGTCTCAAAAAAAAAAGAAAAAATTTTGGAAGCGTACATAGATCATGTATCAAGACCTTATGGGTGGGCCTCTGTAAGGACTTTGGCTTTTATTCCAAGAAGCAATTGGACATTGGAGGGCTTTTATTGTGGGTTTCCGCCTGGGTGTCTTTACCCTTCCTGGCTTACTAAGGTATTAGCATAGGATTTCCTCCAATTCGAACATCAAGCTCGCAGGAACACTGCAGGTGTTAGTGCCTTGTGGTTATTCATAACCTCATGAGCTCTCATCTTGAAACGTGGAGCAGCATTCATCCCTTCAGTTTCCAGCTTCTCATCCTCTAGCACTCTCCTCAGGGCTTTGTCCAACTTTGTTTAGCTCTGGGTGTGTGCCAGCTGCAGCGTACCCAGAATGGTGTGAGGGCAGAAAGGGGATTCTCACTTCCTTCCCCTCCTACTGGAGCCGAGCATTTTCTAGCTTTGGACCACTCTTAACTTGTTGGACCAGTGTTTTCAGAGAACAATCTGCAAGGGAATCTTAGGATCCTCTCTGGAGTTTTGACTAAGGGTGGTAGTTATGACTAGCCCATCCCCTAGAAAATAGGTCAGATTCCCTTGCCTCAAGCTGATAACCTAGTAAATGCATGACAGCATAGAGACACATCCATGAAGTATGCCCACCTGTATTATTCAGGGTTCTCCAGAGAAACAGAACCAATAGGGTGTTTCAGAGAGATTTATTTGAAGAAATTGGGGCCAGGCATGGTGGCTCACACCTGTAATCTCAGCACTTTGGGAGGCCAAGGCAGGAGGATCACTTGGGCCCAGGAGTTCAAGACCAGCCTGGGCAACAGAGAGAGACCCCATTTCTACAAAAAATAAAAATTAGCCAGGTGTGGTGGTACACACCTGTGGTCCCAGTTAGGAGGCCAAGGTGGAGGATCGCTTGAAGCCAGGAGTTTGAGATTAGCCTGGGCAACATAGCAAGACCCCACCTCTACAAAAAAGAAATTAGTTCATGCAGTTGTAAGGCAGAAAGTCCAAAATCCTCAGGGCAGGTGGACATGATGGAGATTCCCCCTTGGAACTTTGAGATTTCTTGTTGTGTCCTATGATTAGGTATTGGGAAGAATGTGGTTTGCGAGAAGGCAGCAACATCAGTGGATGCCTTCCGGATGGTGACAGCCTCAAGATACTACCCGCAGCTGATGAGCCTGGTGGGGAACGTGCTGCGCTTCCTGCCTGCCTTCGTGCGCATGAAGCAACTGATTTCGGAACACTATGTGGGAGCAGTGATGATCTGTGATGCCCGTATCTACTCAGGCAGCCTGCTAAGCCCCAGCTATGGCTGGATCTGTGATGAGCTCATGGGTGGCGGTGGCCTGCACACCATGGGGACGTACATCGTGGACCTGCTGACCCACCTGACTGGCCGGAGAGCAGAAAAGGTACATGGGCTGCTCAAGACGTTTGTGAGGCAGAACGCTGCCATCCATGGCATCCGGCACGTCACCAGCGATGACTTCTGTTTCTTCCAGATGCTCATGGGTGGGGGTGTGTGCAGCACAGTGACACTCAACTTCAACATGCCGGGCACCTTTGTGCATGAAGTCATGGTGGTAGGCTCTGCGGGACGCCTCGTTGCCCGAGGAGCCGACCTCTATGGGCAGAAGAACTCTGCCACACAAGAGGAGCTGCTGTTGAGGGACTCGCTGGCTGTGGGCACAGGGCTTCCTGAGCAGGGGCCCCAGGATGTCCCACTGCTGTACCTAAAGGGCATGGTGTACATGGTGCAGGCCTTGCGCCAGTCCTTCCAGGGGCAGAGTGACCGCTGCACCTGGGACCGCGTCCCTGTCTCCATGGCCGCCTCCTTCGAGGATGGGCTGTACATGCAGAGCGTGGTGGATGCCATCAAGAAGTCCAGCCGATCCGGGGAGTGGGAGGCTGTGGAGGTGCTGACGGAAGAGCCTGACGCCAACCAGAACCTTTGTGAAGCGCTTCAGCGGAACAACCTATGAGCCTGCACCTGGGCTCCTTGCCATAGTACAGAGGGACCAGGGAGGGGAACAGGAGCCAGACATGATGGGGGCTTGGCCCTAGCAGAGACAGTGTCTTTCATTTAATGAATCTAGGTGAAGCCATAGGTGGTCCTGGGACTTCGCCCACCCCCATCCCAGCAGCTCACCTGCTCCTTAGACTTGCAGGGTGGCAAACATTCCTGTTGCCAGGCTAGCACGGCGTGCACAGGGTAGAGCTGTCGCAGGGTCTCCCCATGGCGATGCCAGTGAGTGGGACCAGGAGAGGCTCATCCTGTGGGTTTTTCAGCCTGATCTACAGTCCTAACAGGGTGAGAATGCACAACAGGGGCCAGGCAGCTCAGCTAAGGCCCGAGGAGAAATGACTAGAAGTCTCATTTCCATGTCCTTCTTGGACTGGGGCATCTCAGGAACGGTGAGGGCAACAAGCTGACCCTCAGGGACCCTTACCTGCCCTCCCATGTTACCAGCCCCTTCCCAGGTGGGGACAAGGGCTTGCTTTATTAAGTGAGCTGTCGGGCTTTTGAACTAGGGCAGAGGGCCCTGATTTGGCAAAGAGGAGGCAAGGGAGGGCTTTAGAACATCTGAGAAATGTTAATAAATAATTCAGAAAATAGGACATGATGTGGTTTTTGGTAGGTTGGGTTTTGTTAATACTGAAACGCTTGGTGATTTTTCTCTTTCCTCATGGCGCCACAGCAGCTCAGCCAGCTCAGATCCACGGATCATCACCGCCGATTGGGTGGTGCCCTGCCCCCGCTCGTCTCCCGCCTATTCCCTCATGGCCAAATCCTAAGAGCCTCCAAAGAAAAGATTTTCTGAGAACAGGACTCAGGACTTCCTAATGGGCTGCTGCTGGGCCTGCATCTCAGCAGATAGCGGGAGAGTTTGGGGCCTCTCTGGGCTGGAAGTCAGGAGAGATCTGTTCTTTTTTTTTTTTTTTTTTTTGAGATGGAGTCCGGCTCTGTCGCTCAAACTGTAGTGCAGTGGCGTGATTTTGGCTCACTGCAATCTCTGCCTCCTGGGTTCAAGCAGTTTTCCTGCCTCAGCCTCCTGAGTACCTGGGACTACGGGCATGTGCCACCATGCCCAGCTAATGTTTTTGTATTTTTAGTAGAAATGGGGTTTCACAATGTTGGCCAGGATGGTCTCGATCTCCTGACCTTGTGTTCTGCCTGCCTCGGCCTCCCAAAGTACTGGGATTACAGGCATGAGCTACCACGCCTGGCTGAGGGGTCTGTTCTTAATGCCACAGTGTTGGCTGCTGGAGCATCCTTGAAGTGGCAGGATGATCGGTTTCAGGGAGGTGGCACAGGGTGAGAAGAAGGAGGAAGAGCTCCAGGCATGCCCCGTGGAGCAGCTGCAGCTGGACCTGTGCTGCACAGGAGTAGCCTTCTACCCACCTCTGCCAGAGGCCAAGGGGTGGTGTTGAGAAAGGACATGCCCTCCCCTTTGCTGCTTTGACCAGCCTGCCAGGAACGTTCAGCCTGGACCAAGTTCTGTTCCCTTCTCTAACTTTCTGCCCTCTTCCCTGCCCTGGGCTCCTGGCCAGAAAAGCCCAGGGAGGGTTTTCTCTTCCTCTTGGCACCCCTTCTAGAAGTCACCAGGCCTGTTTTCCTGTCCTGTCCTGGATTTCGACGTCCATGTGAGATGTAATAACAAGGGGCAGGGTTGGAGTGTGCCTACTAAATGCTGACCCTTGGGGCAAACATGTTATTATTTAATCTCCAAATAAGTCTGACGGTACTATAGTAAATATTCCTATCATTCCGATCATAAGACGGAGGCACGGAGGGCAAAGCTACTTGCCTCCTGTAGGTTATACATGATGGAGCCGGTAGCCTGGTCAGGACTATCTAACCACAGAGTTTGATCTTGAACCACACCTCCTCCCAGTACTTGGGAAGTCTTCAGACCAAAGGACCAGGCATTGCCCCTCCCTGTGGCAGGAGCCTCGGCTTGGCCTGAACTAGGAGGTGAAGTGCAGACAGCATGCACCACCAGGCAGGACACCCATAGTTAAAGGGGAGGCTTCCCGCTTGTCCCTGGGACAGTTAGCTTAGCTCAGTCCTCGCATATGTGGCCAGGATGTCGAGGTCACTCCAAAATGGAATTGACCAAGGAAGCACAAGCCCAACTTAGATGCTACCACATAAGAAGGGTCCAACCCAGAATGGCACTGGGGTTCCCAGAATGTGCTAGGGCGGAGTGCAGTGGGCTTAGAGCAGAGCTACTTTAATGAGGACCCCAGTTTCTCTGAGGAGATTCCCAGAGCCTAGATCCATGGCCAGAGGGGTGTATGGCCCCTTCCCTCAGACGTATTTATTATCAAGTACCTCCTGGGCATCAGAGCTGGTCAGTCCCACACTAGGGATGAGAAAGATGTGCCCAGATGCCTATGGCCAAGGGAGCCCAAAGGGTTCTGGTCTCCACTGGTGACTGAACCCACAACTGGTTCCAGATTTGTCCAGCAGCGCCCCCTCCTGGAAGAAGCAGTAGCACCTCCCAGGACATGTTCCCAAATCTCAGGATGTTACCAGCTCCTCCTCAGGTTAAAATTAAGTTTTTCCAGGCCAGTAAAAATACAATTGGTTTTGCTTGTCAGATACAGCAACCAGAAAATAACTTTTTTTTTTTTTGAGATGGCTCTTGTTACACAGGCTGGAGTGCAATGGCGCAATCTCGGCTCACCACAACCTCTGCCCCCTGGGTTCAGGCAATTCTCCTGCCTCAGCCTCCTGAGTAGCTGGGATTACAGGCACGCACCACAATGCCCAGCTAATTTTTGGTATTTTTAGTAGAAACGGGGTTTCACCATGTTAACCAGGATAGTCTCGATCTCTTGACCTTCCCGCCTTGGCCTCCCAAAGTGCTGGGATTACAGGCGTGAGCCACCGCACCTGGCCTTTTTTTTTTTTTAAAGACGGGGTTTCACCATGTTGGTCAGGCTGGTCTTAAACTCCCGACCTGAGGTGATCCGCCCGCCTTGGCCTCCAAAGTGCTTGGATTACAGGCGTGAGCCACCACACCCGGTCTTTTTCTTAATTTAATTTTTTTGAGAACTTCTAAAATACCTGTTGCTTATTCTTCAACCTCCAGCCAAATCCAAGCCTGTTCTCACCCACACAGTGGCAGCTGCTTCCTTTCCTGTTCTGCCCTTCACCCTGCAGTCCAAGCAGCCTCTCTGGAACATCACGCCAAGATCCTTCCCTGTCCACACCCCACCTCCTCACCCCCGGACTCGCCCAGCCTGGTTTCCATATGGCCATGCCCACCACTCCAGTCACACTGAGCAGCCCTCCTGCAGCCTGGCAGCTTCCATACTAGCAGGGCTTCCTCCCTGGCATGTCTTCTGCCTGGAAGGCACACCTCTCTCCCTCAGGAGTCAGCTGGAGGGCTGCCTGATCACCACTGCTGCCTTCAGCAAAGTAGCCACCCCCCAACCTGTGGTCCCACAGCCTTGGTCCTCAGTTGCACTGAGGTTGCATGTCTCATTCATTCATTCATTCACTTATTTCTAGGCAGAGTCTCACTCTGTTACCTAGGCTGGAGGGCAGTGGCATCACCTCTGCTCACAGCCACCTCCACCTTCTGGGTTCAAGTGATCCTCCTGCCTCTCCCAAGTAGCTGAGACTACAGGCATCCACCACCATACCTGGCTAATTTTTGTTTTTGTTTTGGTTTTTTTAAGTGGAGTCTCACTCTGTCGCTCAGGCTGGAGTGCAGAGGCGCAGTCTCGGCTCACTGCAACCTCCCCCTCCCTGGTTCAAGCAATTCCCCTGCCTCAGCCTTCCGAGTAGCTGAGATTACAGGTGCATGCCACCACACCCAGCTAATGTTTTTGTATTTTTAGTAGAGACAGGGTTTCACTATGTTGGCCAGACTGGTCTCGAACTCCTGACCTCAGGCAATCCGCCCGCCTCAGCCTCCCAAAGTGATGGGATTACAGGTGTGAGCCACTGCGCCTGGCCTAATTTTTGTATTTTTAGTAGAGGTGGGGTTTTACCACATTGTCCAGGCTGGTCTTGAACTTCTGGCCTAAGTTATCCACCACCCTCGGCCTCCCAAGACGCTAGGATTATAGGCATGAACCACCACGCTAGGCACTTATTTTAAATATATAATTTCAACTTTTACTTTACATTCGGGGTGGGGGGGATACATGTGCAGGTTTGTTACATGGGTATACTGCATAACGCTGAGGTTTGGGGGACAATTGGTTTCATTGCCCAGGTAGTGAACATAGTACTCAATGGGCAGTTTTTCAACCCTCACCCAACCCCTCTCTGCCCCCTCTCATAGTCCAATGTCTGTGGGTCCCATCTTTGTGTCCATGTGTACCCAATGTGTAGCTCCCACTTATAAGTGAGAGCATGTGCTATTTGTTTTCCTTTTCCTGTGTTAATTTGCTTAGGATAAATGGTCTCCAGCTGTTTCCATGTTGCTGCAAAGGAGACAATTTCAGTCTTTTTTATGGCTGCATCATTTTTAATTTTTTTTTTTTTTTTGACATAGAGTCTACTCTGTCACCCAGGCTGGAATCCAATGGCATGTTCTCGCCTCACTGCAATCTCTGCTGCCTGGATTCAAGCGATTCTCCTGCCTCAGCCTCCCGAGTAGCTGGGACTACAGGTGCAAGCCACCACACCTGGCTAATTTTTGTATTTTTAGTAGAGACAGGGTTTCACTATGTTGCTCAGGCTGATCTCAAACTCCCGACCTTGTGATCTGCCTGCCTCACCCTCCCAAAATGCTGGGATTACAGGCGTGAGCCACAGCGCCCAGCTGTCATTTTTACTTCTTGAGACAGGGAAAAGTGTTGCCCAGGCTGGTCTTGAACTCCTAGGCTCAAGTGATCCTCCCACATCAGCCTCCCAAATATCTGGGACTACAGACACAGACCACCATGCCCAGCTAGTGAGCCAAGATTGTGCCACTGCACTCCAGTCTGGGTGACAGAGGGAGACTCTGTCTCAAAGAGAAAAGAAAAAAAAGGTCCATGGGGCCAGTGAGCATCCAAGTGACCCTGTCAAAGGAGGGAGCAGCCTGGGACGATGCCAGAAAAGGAGACCCCCCTGCTTTTCCTACCTGAGCCTGCCCACCCCACTCCCTCCAGTGACCTTGCCAGGCCATACTCCAGGGAACCTAGACATGACTGTGACTTGGGATGGCCTCAGCCTTTCAGATTCTGGCCTGTCCCTCTCTGCAGCTTCCTCACTTTAGTCTCCTCAAGTTGGTGCCTTTTAGGGGGCCCTCTGGTTAGGTGGATGTGATGTAATGACATGTGCCCCGAGGGACACATGTCCCTCGCCAGGGGGAGAGGTGAGAATCAAGGCATTTTAGGCAGAGGAAACCCCCCATGCAGAGAGTGAAGCAAGGAAAAGGTGAAACTGCTCATGGAATTACGGGAAGCCACTGAGTTCTAAGGTGCCTGGGGCAAGAGGAGGAGGATCCCAAGGGGGAGTGACACCATCAGGGGCTCAGGTGTGTGTCGCAGGGCCACTGGATGGATCTGTGGGCCAAAAGAAGACACACAGGGAAACCAGTGAGGCTGTCACCTGAAGATGACAGTGGCCCAGGCAACAGGGCTGACTACAGGGTTTGAGAGGTTCTCAGCCTGAAAGGGTGTATGTCCACTGGCTTCAATGTCTGCTTAGCTTGTAGGAATCAGGGAACAAAGAACAGGATGGGTTCTGGTGTAACACCCAAGATTCTAGCTTAAACAATTGCACAGATGAGATGCAGGAGGAAAAGCAGTTGGAGGGAGGGGAAATTGTCCATGAACTTGAAATTCCCTGTGTCTGTTTGCAGTGTCTAAGGAACACAGAGGAGGCCCAGGAGGCAGCAGGATGTGCAGTTTCCAAAATGGCCAGCACTAGCTGGCTCTTCCCAGAGATCTCTGGTGGTTGGACACAGCTATCATCCAGTGGCTTGGTCTCAGGACCCCAGATGCATTTACTGCCCTCCCACCCCAACCCTGCCAGGACAACATCACTGATGCCCCATCACCTGTGACCAGGAGGTACTCCATGGACAAGGTCTGGTCCAGCTATGGTCTGGCAATGAGTGGAAAACATCCCAAAGCTGTCACTCTTGCAACAGGCAAATGAACTCTTGCCAATTCCTAGGGGATCCCAAGTTTTGATCCCCTCAAGGTGAGACAAATGCAGGCCCTTCTTCGGGAGACAGAGAGCAGGGCCAAACACCTGCTTCTCATGACCTGACAGACCCTTTCTTTTCTCTGTCCCAAGTTCCTCCTTCTCACTTCCCTCTTCATCACCCAGTTAGGTGTCTGACCCTCAGATTCACCTAAACGCACAGCACCAGGCCCATCCCAATTCAGGGAGTTGTGGAGTGGCACGAAGGAATCTGTCATTGTCAAGGTCACGGGTGATGCAAATGCAAAACCTTCACTGGTGAGTCCTCCATCTTCTTTCCCAGTTCAGGCAACCTATCTGGGGAATCACAAAGTCTTTGAAAAAGAAAAATGTTTATTTTCAGCAAGCCCAAAATCCCAAGTGAGGGCAGGTACCAAATTTGCCCCTTCACCAGAGGGCCTAGGTCCACAGGAAGCCTGAAGCCAAGTTCAGGCTTGGAAGGAGGGGAGCCACCAATGGGGCAGGACAGTCACTTGTACTGAGGAGAGAGCGGGGGGACAAGCGGAGCATTGCAGACACTTAGCATCTTGTTGATGTCCACCTGGGTTGATTTCTCCACCTCAGCCTTGAGGTGGTCACTCACCCCAAAGCAGGGCAGGCCCCCAGGCTCTTCTCCAGCCTCCTCTCCAAGGGGAGCCAAAGCATGGGTGGGGGGCACTAACGGACTGGGACAGGGCAAAGTGAGGCCCGGGCCCAGCTTACCTGCCAAGGGCAGCAAGGCCTGCAATTGCTCCACACCTGCCTCCTCAGGAACCAGGGCCAGCTCTGCCTCTGCATCCACCTCGGCCTCCCTGTCCCCCTCCCCCACCTGGTTCAGCTCAGGGTTGGAATAGTTGATGTACTGGTACAGGGGCCGCAGGCGCTGGACCTTTCCTGCAAAGACCCGGGACAGGGCGGAGGCTGGAGCGCCAGGTTGTGCCAGGTCAAGCCCCACAGGCAGGGGGAGAAGGAACAGCTCAGGGACTGCCACTCACGCTCCAGCCCCAACATCTCTAAGGATGCAGACGCCGTGCTGGCCACAGAGTGGAGCACAGGAGCCCCCAGGCTCTTGCGCTTCTTGGCTTTTTTGTGCTGTTTGGCAGATGATGAGACCTCACTCTGGCTACCCTCTCGCTCCTCCTCCTGCAGCAGCAGCCTGGGTGGCAGCTCAGCTTCAGCCCTCAGATGGGCATGGTGGCCTGGGAGGCTGAGGGACCTGAGCCAGGGACAAGAAACTTGAGGAGCCAGGCTCCAGCCCTGGCCCAGGGAATAGCCCAGCCTGCCCACCACCCCAGGGCTCAATGCCTGCCTGGTTCATGGTCAGTGAGGCCCCAGGCCCAAGAGAGGCTTAGAGCCAGGTGAGCCCAGTCCCCTACAAACCCTGAAGCCCCCTCTCTCCTGCCGCTCCCTACACAGGGGTAGTAGGGGGAAGGTCTTCAGGAACAGAAAGAGAGGGGAGTGAGGGTAGTACTGGTGGACACAAGAATCACACTTGCAGGAGTGCAGGATTTAGGAATCCTACTGGAGTGTGAGCCCCATCCCTGGGCCTGCAGCTCCTTCCCTCCGAGAGCCCCCTCACTTGACAGGCTTCCTCTTTGGACCATGATGGGGCCTTACAGAGACCACGGGCCTGGGGCCTCTCTCCTCTAGTGCCCCAGCCTCTGGCTTGGGCCTCTCTTCCCCCAGTTTGGGTCCTTCCTCCTGGAGCTCCGGCTCTGAGGAGGCTCCTGCTGGGGGCTGGTCTTCACCATGGGTCCCACCGGCCTCATGGGCTGGCACCAGGAACTGGTCTCCCGTCACTGGACACTAGAGGTGACACACAGACCATCTGTCACCATGGCCGGGCAAAAGATATAGGGATCAGTCACTGAACACCTAACATTAGACACCGAAACAGCCTGTGTGCCTCTCCCCTCCTGGAGAGCCCAGCCAGCCAGTTAGGGAGTCGGGGCGCTCAGAGTTCCACCTCTCAGAGCTCTACGGCTCCGTGTTTGAATGCTAAACAGCCTGATGGTCACCTCAGAGGTCTGAGCGCGGCCAGGGTCCTCCGCGAGCAGTGCCTGCCCCACGACCGTCGCCTCCTGGAACCCCGGCCGCCTCTCCGCCCCTGCCGAGGCCATGGCTCCGCGGGCTCAGTGCATCCTCGTCCTGGGGCGGACCCGAGGGGTTGGATGGTGGCCCTGCGCGGACCCCGGAGACCGGCCAGCAAGCGAGCACAAAACTGGGAAGCGAGACCGGCGGCCACCCTCGGCCGAAACTACAAGCCCCAGGAGGCTTTGCGCCAGGGTCAGTGAGCCCTGACCCCGGGGACGGAAGCCACGGTTGCCCGGCAACAACAACTCCCGTCGAGTGGCTACAGCTGGCTGCAAAACCGCTCGAGTGATCCCCTGCCCGAGTGCCGCGGGGGGTGGGGCGCGAGCGGGACCGGGAAGTGGGCTGGGAGCAGAGGTCGTGGAGGCGACAAACGAGGCCGAGGTCGGGGCGGGGACTGGGAGGGTCCCGGGACGGGCGGCCCTCCTTGGTCCAGGTTAGGGTCAGGGTCCCGGACTAGGGAGGAGGCCTGGAGCTGGGAAGGGGGCCCAGGGAGGGAGGTATAGAGCTCGACAGGACTCGGAGCCCCTTTGAAGGGCGGCGCCGGCGGCATGTGCGAGGGCCCGTCCCGTATCTCCGGGCCCATCCCCCCAGACCCGACGCTTTGCCCTGACTACTACCGGCGGCCGGCCTCTGGTGAGTACGGGTGCGCGGCGGTGGCGAGAGGCTCGGGGGTCGGCCTCGGCTCCACCTCAGCCCCGCATTCCACCCGGCTCCACCCCACACGCAGCTCAAGGACGACTAGAGGGGAACGCGCTGAAGCTGGACTTGCTGACCTCGGACCGAGCCCTGGACGCCACCGCTCCCCGTGGGCCCTGCATCGGTCCCGGCGCCCGAGAGATCATGGAGCGCCGCCGGCGTGGCGTCGGCGACGTGCTGTTGCAACTTGAGGGCATCTCCCTAGGTCCTGGGGCCTCTCTCAAGAGTAAGTCCCAGGAAGAGAAGAAGGGGCAGAGAGACAGTTTGGGGTGGAAAGACATCAAAGCAGCAGCCCTTTCCCCCCTGACCTCGGCCCAGGCTTTGCTCTCTTGAGTCTCAGTTTCCCCAACCATAAAAAGGGGGAGAAATGTGCTACCTTCTCGGAGGGGAACTGAGTGAGGTAGTTCCCACAAAGTCCTAGCTCTGCTTCATGCATTTATTACCCGTCAAACTTGTGTGCCAGGCCATATAGGTGCTAGAACACAGGGTTGAAGACAAGCATGATCCATCGAATCAAGGTGGGAGACAAAGAACAGGAGATGAATGTCATGTATGAGATAATTAATAGTATACTTCACTGTAATAATGGAGAAAAACAGCTGGGAGCAGTGGCTCATGCCTGTAATCCCAGCACTTTGGGAGGCCGAGGCGGGCGGATCACTTGAGCCCAGGAGTTGGAGACCAGCCTGGCCAACATGGTGAAACCCCATCTCTGCAAAAAATACAAAAATTAGCCCGGTATGGTGGAGTATGTCTCTAATCCCAGCTATTCAGCAGGCTGAAGTGGGAGGATCACTTGAGCCAAGGAGGTTGAGACTGCAGTGAGCTGTGATCATGCCACTGTACTCCAGCCTGGGTGACAGAGTGAGACCCTGTCTCAATTAATGAGAAAAATCATCACGAGATACTAAATACGTGAGGAAGGGAACACGATGATGAGGCAGACGAGAGGTCGGGGGCTCTTTCTGTAAGGGGCGGAGGACAGGCCTGTGTGTGAACTGGTGGAAATTGGATTGTGTGGGCCATATGTAGGGCAGAGCCTTGCAGCATCTGTTCTCTAGGGAAGGACCCTAAAGACCATGAGAAGGAGAACCTGAGGCGGATCAGGGAGATTCAGAAGCGCTTCAGAGAACGGGAGCGCAGCCGGGAGCAGGGCCAGCCTAGGCCCCTGAAAGCTCTGTGGCGTTCGCCCAAGTACAACAAGGTGGAGTCCCGCGTCAAGGCCCAGCTGCAGGTACCTGCCTCAGGGCACCGGATGTATTAGTCATTTTGTTGGCCAACAGGCAACTAACTATATTCTGATCTGGGGAGGGAGGAAAGTCACAGAGGTAACAGAGGACTAAGAGACCCTGACTCTGCTGCAGGGCAGGACTGAGGGGGGCCTTCTCAAAGTCATGATGGGGGGAGCTGATCCTAAGGGGCAAGCAGCAGTTATGCAAGGGGACAGCAGTAGAGAACATTCCCAAAAGATGGAACCTCCCCAACCACAGGACACATAGCAGTGGAGATGCTAGGTACAGGACACATAGCAGTGGAGATGCTAGGTACAGTTCAAAGGCGTGAGGTTAGACCAAGAAGTCAGCCGGACCCACATCATCAAGGGCCACATTAACCACTTTCAGCCTTTATTTCTGAGGACAGTGGGAAGGGCAGAAGTATGGTGGGGGGTGCTCTGTCTTGGGTAGAGAGCAGCACCATCCCTCCATCCAAGGACTCAGCAGGAGGAGTAAGAGTGAGAGGAAAGGCAAGGTCACACGAATGTGTCAGGGCTGAAGCATCTGTGGCGCTCCCAGGGGGTGGGAGTGTATCCAGGAAGCAGATGGAAATTCAGGACTGGATCTGAGGAGTAAGACCTAGGAGTTACTGACAGTCAGGTTGAGGACAACGAGACCAAGGAAGTGACCGCCTGGATTTGAGGACTTGGAGGCCAGCCATCAGGAACTTTGGGGGACTAGAGCCGGAAGCTTGGCTAGGAAGGAGGGGAGAGAGTGGTGGCTGGCCCAGTACTGAGGTAGAAGAAGAGGTGGTTACTGTTTTCTTAAAAATCTGATATCCACACGTTTATGTGCTGATGAGGACAAGTGTCCCTTGAGGAGGGAAGATGCCCCGAGGGACATGGATGCAGAGGTCAGAAGGGCCAAAAGAGCCAGAGTCCTGAGGTTTCAGCCCCAGACCTCAGCCTGCTTGCTCTCTCTGCTGTGCCCTGCCCTCCAGGAGCCTGGCCCTGCCTTTGGGACAGAGTCTGCCCACTTCCTGCGGGCACACTCCCGCTGTGGCCCTGGCCTCCCACCACCCCGTGTTTCCAGTCCCCAGCCAACGCCACCAGGTTCTGAAGCTAAGGTGAGTGGATGGTGGTTGGGCAGGGCTCCCACTGTGTGTCGAGGGGTTCAGGGATACCACATAATGCTCTCTGCCCCCACCCACACTTGCTGTGTCCTGCAGGGGCCAGGCCTGGGGGTGGACTTCATTCGTCACAATGCCCAAGCTGCCAAGAGGGCCCCCCGGAGGCATTCCCGCTCGATGCAGGTCCTGGCACAGGTGCTAGAGCAGCAGCGGCAGGCCCAGGAGCACTACAATGCCACGCAGAAGGGCCACGTTCCCCATTAGTAGGTCTCACTGCCCGACACACAGGGCGAGGGGCACCTGGGGAGGGTGGGAACCGGTCTCTGCCATGGGGTCATCAACCCTGAGCCTGTGCACCCACAGCTTGTTGGAGCGCAGGGACCTGTGGCGGCGGGAGGCCGAGGCCCGTGAGCGGAGCCAGCCAGACCCTGCCATGCCTCCAGGCCACACGAGCATGCCTGAGAACCAGCGGCTAGAAACACTGAGCAAGCTGCTTCAGAGTGAGTACCTGGGCGGGGAGGCTGGAGGGGGACCCCACTGGGGACTGGGCACCTGCCCAACACTCACTGTTCCTGGGCCCCCTGTAGGTCAGAGCCAGCTGCTGCGTGAGCTGGTACTGCTGCCTGCTGGGGCAGACTCACTGAGAGCTCAGAGCCACCGTGCTGAGCTGGACCGGAAGCTGGTGCAAGTAGAGGAGGCCATCAAGATTTTTTCCCGGCCCAAAGTCTTTGTGAAGATGGACACCTGAGCCCCTCTGGGGGACAATTGGCAGGGAGGTACATGTTGAGGATCACCAGCCACATGGCTGAAAAGGACAGGGTCAGGCCCATTCCCAGATCAGATGTCTGAAGACAGGAGCAGGGGGGTGGCCAGTGTCCCTAGAGCACTTTTCTCAGCCACCAGTGGCTACAGAAGGGCCATCCCAGCCTTTTAACCGTTTTGTCGAAATTAAACCGTTTGGACACAGGATTTGTTTCCTTAAGAGCTTTTCTTACCCTAAAAATGCCAATCCTGGTGGCCCTCCTGCTGTGCAATTGCAGGAAGTTCTCCCAATTGTCACTCCTGCCTTAGTCCAGAGCAGAAGGCAAACTGGTGGAACCAGGGAGGAGGCTGGGGCTGGGACACAGAAGGACCATGACTGTATTTGTAGAAAACCTTTAATGTTCCCCAGGCTGAGGGAGCCCTGCAAGCCCACTAAAAACCCCACTGTGAAGTCCCTGCCATGGCCCAGCAGTATGGAGTGGCACGAGGCTGCATCCCGCCTGTCAGAGGCTGAAGCCACTACCATCTCCTCGCATGCGACTCCCCCAGCCAGAACTGACCTGCTCCTGGTCATCCAGGGAGGGCAGAGAGCTTCGGGCACCAGGATATCGGCAGCCAGGGTGCAGGTCCCAGCACGGGGGCCCCTGAGATAGCCCATTGGAACTGGGAGACTGGCGGTTCTCAGTGACCAGGTCACTGCTGTCATCGTCACTATCAGGCTCAACAGGCCCAGGCCCTGCAGAGGGAGGACCTGTCAAACGCCCAGATGCCCCTCGCACCACGTTATTGCGCTGGTTGGCAGGCTTGACAGTGACAATGAGGTTATGGCTGTTGGCGACCATCATGTCCGTCACTTGGTCCAAGGTCTTCCCGGCTACTTCAATGCCATTGACCTCGAGGATCTCATCACTGACTGCCAGCAGCCCTGTACTCTCAGCCAGGCCCCCACGTACCAGGCGGGAGATGAAGATTCCTGGAACCCGCTCCAGGCCCTGGGGAGCCACACGCACACTCATGCCATCTCGGATGTAGAAGCCCAGGGGGCGGTCTGAACCATGCTTGTGCAGTCGCACGCGTCGGTGGGTCTCAGGCAGTAGGTCCACATCTATGACTGAGGAAACTTGGCGGAAATCTTGGGGCAGGCTGATGAGGAGGGGTGGTCGGGTGCGCAGGGGTGCCACTGGCCGCAACAGGAGCCCTTTCTTGCGCCGCTGCAGAGAGTTGGAGGCAAAAGCCAGGCTGCTGGAGTCAGCGTCTGCTGTAGGAGAGGCGGGTTGCCGAGATCAGAGATCTGTTCCCCCACTTGGGCTCTTTGCAGGGGGCACTGTAGCTATTTCCTACCACTTGGAGGTCAGGCCAAGGGCAGGGACTGCAGAGGGTGACGCTTGGGTGCCCTGGCCATAGACTAACCCTTGTAGACCGTCCCACAGACACCTTACCCCAGAGGCTGCCCACTGTACCCCTCCTCACCCCGCTTCTGCACCAGTAGGCGCAGTGGTGGGGGCCCGCTGGCCAGGGCCCGGTGCAGGCTGTCGTCGTTGGTGAGGGGCAGCAGGTCGCCGTGAGCATCCGTATAGCCAAGTAGCACGTCCAGGCCCGGGATCTGATGCACCGCACGCAGCAACCGTGAGAACTCCTGGAAGCCACTCACCGAAGCGCGGGGCAGCGCGAAGCGTCGGAACTCGGCGTCAAACTGGAAGTCGGGGTTGCGGGAGAGGAAGGGTAAAAATAGCCTGCGCCCCTTTCTCACCACAGGTCCAAGGCCGGCAGGGATGGGAAGGAAACGGCTGCCGCAAAAGCTGCAGCCTTAAGCCCAGACCTCAGCTCTAGTACCAGGGACTCTGTCCAAGGTCTTCTTACTACCCTCCAGGTACTCAGGCCACCGAGGAATCTGGAGGCCAGCAGTGGAGGGAGGAAGATGGATGGGGGAAGGCGAGAAAAAAAGCAGAATGGGACTTGAAGGATAGATGGAAGAGGTGCGGGGACCAAGGAGCCGGGAAGGGGAGAAAGAGGGAATTGGGAGCGCCTAGGGCCGAGGCTGGAGGGGTCCTTACTTTGCTCTTCACCTCGACGATGCTATCGGGACTGCGCGCCGGAGTCCTCTGCGGCCGGGCCATGGCGGGGCCGGGCGGGCCGGGGACGGTGCCCCAGACGGCCCGCCGAGGCGCAGGTGCACAGTCCGACCGGCCCGCCCGCGCCGCCCCGCCCCGCCCCTGGCGGTAGCACACGCCCCGCCCTCCCATCCTGAGCGTGACGTCAAGGGGGCAGCGACGCAGAGTGGAACGCGGAGTCCACGTTTCCTAGGAAACGGAGCCGGGGGTGGAGAGGAGCCTTCCTCCGCTCTTGCGTCATCACGCTGAGGTTCGCGCGCCCCCGGAGTCTGGGGAGTAGGGCTTGGCCAATCCGAGGGGAGGGCGAAGGAAGTACCATTTATTGAGCGCTGTGTGCTCTTATTTCCACTGGCCTTACAAGGCCGTGCATTGTGTAGATGAGGAAACTGAGTTACAATAAATATGTGCTGAACCCCTTGGGGGTCACACGACGCTGAAATGGTTTTGAGCCAACTCGCTCGGACGGCACTCGGCCGCAACCTCCGGCCTTGGATCCCTCCCTTCAGGGACCGGACCAGCCCTTGTTCTGTTCCCTCCCGGTAGCACGGGAGTTCTGACCAATGGCCCAAACGCCGGGCCGTTGGTCAGAGTGACGCCGCGATGAGAGTAAACGGGCCAGCATCCCGTAGACCAGCGGGAGTCTGCTGACAGGCTACAGCAGAACACCCTCGTGCGCAGGCGCGGGATATGGGTGGGCGTGGCCTCCGCCTGAGCCCCCGCCCATCCGCAGGCGCTTCCTCTTCCGACGAGAGGCGGGGCTCGAGCGCCCGCGGGAAACCCGGGCCCGCTGCCTCCGCTAGGTGCAGCTGTGGGAATGGCAGGTTCGGGGAGGCTGGTCTTACGGCCCTGGATTCGAAAGCTGATTCTAGGGTCAGAGACACTCTCCAGTCCACGAGCCGGGCAGCTGCTCGAGGTGAGCCCCCACTCAAGGCCGGGAGACGGAGGCGGAGACCGCGGGTGGTGGGATTGACGCAGCTCGCCGCCGTCAGGTACTAAAGGAGGCGGAGGCAGCTGCCGCGGGCCCATCCCACGCTCCTGATGGATCCGACGTCGGGGCCACGCTGCTTGTGTCTGACGGAACCCACAGTGTCCGATGCCTGGTGACACGGGAGGCCCTGGACACCTCGGACTGGTGAGAGGCGCCGCGCGTCTTCGGACGTCGGAGGCCGGCGGGAGAGCGCGAGGTGGGCGGGTCTTCTGTTCCGGCGGGCCCAGCAGTGAGGGTCCTGCTTGCCGCAGGGAGGAGAAGGAGTTCGGCTTCCGCGGGACAGAGGGGCGGCTGCTGCTGCTGCAGGACTGCGGGGTCCGTGTCCAGGTCGCTGAGGGTAGCGCGGTGAGTCGTGGGGCTGCCTTGGGCGAGTTATCGGGCTTGACTCTTCGTGACAAACTCCTGAGACCTCCCCTTCCCCTCGAACTCCTCCAGACCGCAGAGTTCTATCTCCAGGTGGACCGCTTCAGCCTGCTGCCCACGGAGCAGCCCCGGCTACGGGTTCCTGGTTGGTAAGTGATGCCTCCGCCCTCCAACAGCTCTCCCTACCCCAGCCTGGCTGACGCTGGTAGAGGCCTTCGGGTTAGGAGGGTTTGGGCCTCCATTAACTACTCTTCTCTCTCTCTCTCTCTTTTTTTTTTTTTTTTTAGCAACCAAGACTTAGATGTTCAGAAAAAGCTCTATGACTACCTTGAGTGAGTCTGGGGTGGGCCTCTGGCACCACTTGTGGGCTGGTGAGGGGATGGTGGGTCTGGATAGACAGGCCTCAGCATGGTTCCTGAGGCCTGGCCATTCTTCTTGTAGGGAGCACCTTTCGGAGTCCACCTCGTCCAATACAGGTACTATAGGGCTTGACCAGTAATCCTAACACCCTGTGCAGTGATCTCTCCTGCCTTAACCTGTTGCTTCCTCAATAAGCTCTCCTCCCCCTCCCCTCTCTCTGGGGGTCCTCCTCTTTAAGCCTCTGGTCCCCTATCCCCAGGCCTATCACTGTCCCAGCTTCTGGATGAAATGAGGGAGGACCAGGAGCATCAGGGGGCGCTCGTGTGCCTGGCTGAGAGTTGCCTAAAGCTGGAGGGCCCTTGCACAGCACCCGCTCTCACCCACTGGGCTGCCTCACGCTGCAGGGCCACGGTCAGTCTGGGGCTTTTCTTGGGAGACGTCAGGGTGAGGAGTTGGGCAAGGGTCATGCTGAGAGTTCACGTCCCACAGGGAGAAGCTGTGTACACTGTCCCAAGCTCACTGCTGTGCATCTCTGAGAATGACCAGCTAATTCTGAGCTCTCTAGGACCGTGTCAGAGGACACAGGGTAAGGGGGATTGGAGAGGTTGGGAGGATACCCTGGGGCACAGGTCCACAGTGCTGATAAGCCTTCCTGAACCCTCCAGGCCCCGAGCTGACCCCAACAGACCCGGCTCTGCAGGACCTATCCCTGACCCTCATCTCCTCTCCACCTTCCTCACCCAGTTCCTCAGGTGAGGTGATGCACAAGTCACAGGCATTCACTGCTATCAGCCAGATTCCCAGACTGTGCAGGATGCTGTGAAAAGGTGCATGGGGGTGGGGGATGAACACAGTTCCTGCAGTCCTGAGCTCGCAGGCCACTCAGCTGCTCTGAGCAGAGAGGGCTGTGCCTACAATTAGTCCCCTCCTCCTCAGGAACCCCAGCCTTACCCGGCCACATGTCATCCCAGGAAAGTGGTGTGAGCGTCAGCCTTCTGCCTGCCCTGTCTTTGGCTGCTCCAGACCTAGGGCAGAGGAGCAGCTCCCAGCCCCCACCAGCTATCTGTTCAGCCCCTGCCCCCATGACCCCCAGCTCCCCACTCCAGAGCTGTACTCCCAGTCTCTCGCCCCGTGGCTTTGTCCCCAGTCCACACCAGGCTCTTGGGACGAGGTCCCAGAAACCTAGCCTGGAGTTAAAGGAGCTAGGGTGGCCCTGCAAGAATCGGCGGCCTTTTCCCAGGACCGGAACTACCAAGGGAGCCCAGGAGTCCTGCCCTGTCTGGGTGAGCATAGCCCCTTTGCAATTGGAGGGTAGAATGAGGAAGGCCTGAGGTAGAGGTGGGAAGGAGCAAGGGTAGTCTTAGATGGGGTTGGGGTCCTTGTTCCCCAGACACCATACCCCTTTCAGGAACCCCCAAAGAGGCATCATGATGGTTCTGCCTTCCAATATCAGTACGAGCCACCCTGCATGTCCCTCTGTGCTCAGGTCCAAGCTGCCAGGTAAGTGAGTGCCTGGGTCTGCCCCCACTCTTAGTCACTAGTCCCAGGCTCCATTGACCTGTAGCTTTGATTCCTTCTCAGGCTTCCTCCCCAGCTCGTGGCCTGGGCCTTGCACTTTCTGATGGAGCCACAGCCACAGCCAGAGTCTGAGGCAACTCCGATGTGAGAAGTCACACAGGATACTGGAGGATGTGTACACACAGGACAAATACTGCTCCACACCTTGCTTCCTTTGAGTTTTTTAATAAAATAATCTCATGCGGCAGGAGAGGAGAGGATCAGGGATTGGGACCGCCGCCTCTTTGGTCTGTGGCTGGGGAGGGTGGGCTCCGCTCAGGGCTGGAGGGCTCTGTGGGCTGTGGGTGCAGAGGCTCGGTTCCAAGGCCAGATCCTGTGTGGGGAGGGAGGTGGAGAGAGGAAGGGTAAGGGCTGGGCTGAGCAGTCCTGCTACCCTCCCAGCTGGCCTGGACCCACTCCTACCTAGGCTTAGGGATGAAGGTGCCTCGAGCTTCGGCCTGCGTTTGAGGACGGGGGAGCGCTGCAGACGCAGGGGCCGTTCTAAGGAACATAGAAAGGCTTGAAGTGGGTTGCTAAGGGCTTGAGGTCTGTCCATCCCCTGCCCCCCTCCCACCTCCAGTGAACACAAGCATGTGCTCACACACACTGCTGCCTTCAGAGCATCCCCCATCCCTGCATCCTCACGCCAGCAGAGGCTGCTCTTTGGGAAGTGGAATCGGGGCTAGTTGGAAGGGCTTGTTGTCAAACCCTTGCACCTGGCCTTCTGGCTCCCTGATTTCTTGAGTCCTCACACACTGGTGCCTCCCTCCAAGGATCAAAGCCATGAAGGGAGCCCCAGAAGCCCACCCCCCTGCATCTCCTGCATTCAAACACAGATGGAGGTGTCTCCCTTCACCAGCAGGGGCCTGGAGCTGGTCCTCATGCACAGACACTGCTCGCCACCCTGCTGAGAGAGGCCTTGGCCTCAGCTGGCCATCTGAGGGAGGCCAGGGAATCAGCGGTGTTCCAACAGCTGCCCCAACTCCAGCCCTTGCCTCCCACCCTCAGGGTACTTAGAGAAGCTGAGTTCCCAGCAGGAACTCCTCCAGCCCCCAGCCCAGGATTGGGGTGGGGAATCGGGTGGCTGCCTACCTTCATTCCTGGGGCCCAAGCAGGGGTCCTCCGGGAGACCCAGGCTGTCTGGGGAGGGGCTGGCTCTGCAGGGACTTGGGCTCTGACCAGGGGAAGGAGGGCCTGGACCATCCTGTTGGCCCCAACCACGGCTCCTGAGCTCTGCATTCAACTGCTGCCCCAGTGTCTTCCAAGTGGCAGACTCGGGCCCTTGGCTTCCTGGGCCAGGTCTGCAGGAGGGGTCTGTGGGGAGAAGGGTGTCAGCCAAGACCTGGTCAGGCCTTAGAGATAGGTCTGAACCACCATATGACCCTGCTCTTGTCCATCTCTGCTTCCCCCACTAACACACACTGGCCCTCACTCACCAGCAGACACAGAGTGGGTGCGGGACTTCATTGAGATGGGAGGGGCCTCCGTGGAACTGTCCATAATGTCACCTGCAAGGTGGAGTTGGGGACTCGGGCACCAGACCTTGGAGATGAGGGGAAGAAAAACCTGGCCTCTCCCCTTCTTCCCCCAGGAGAGCAAGTGCCTTGGGGGCTGTCTGTAAGGACACCTCCTGGCAAATGTACTGCTGCACCCCAGGGTCCTACTTACCATCTGAGCCAGCTTTCTTGATCTCGCCATCTTTGCTCTGTAGGAAACAGGGCAGTCAGATCCCAGCCCTGCCCCCTCCCCACACCCTAGCCTTTTGTTCATTCTTGTTCTTATAACCCAGCTCCTGAATACCCACCATGGGCTGGACAAGAACATGGCAAACCCAGTCCAGTCTTAGAACTCTTCACACACTTGAATGTTTCTAAATTCAGGCTAACTTCATGTGTTTGTTTTTTTTAAGGTATTGAATGGATAGTACAGAGGGCTGGGGTTCTATGGGGCTGAAGAGTGACATTAGCAGGGTGGCCACAGAGGAGAGTCAGGGAAGGACTGTGGGCACTGCGTGGATGGCTGAGGAGGGACCTGGTGTAACCCACAATTAGAGACTGGAAGCAAGGTAGGGAGGACACCCAGAAACAGGGACGTGTGTGGAGGCTTTGATTTGCACCTAGGGGAGGAGAGCAGTGAGGTTTGTTTGTCTCATTCTGTCGCCCAGGCTGCTGGAGTGCGGTGGCATAATCTCAGTTCACTGCAGTCTCCGCCTCCCGTGTTCAAGCAATCTCTGACTCAGCCTCCTGAGTAACTGGGATTAAAGGTGCCTGCCACCAGATTCCAACCAATTTTTTTGTCCTTTTTTTTTTTTTTTTTTAAAGTAGAGTTGGGGTTTCACCATCTTGGCCAGGCTGGTCTTGAACTCCTGACCTCATGATCCACCCTCCTTGGTCTCCCAAAGTGCTGGGATTACAGCCATGAGCCACCATGCCTGGCAGAGAGCAGTGAGGTTTTAAGGTGGCCAGGGCCAAGACACCCCACAGAGCCCCAGAGCTGGGTGTGAAGACTGAACAGTGTCTTGAGACGAAGGCCCTGGAAGACTTGCTGTTTCAAGTACAGGTGACAAGATCAGATTTTTTTTTTTTTTTTGAGATGGAGTCGTCTCTTGTCACCCAGGCTGGAGTGCAGTGGCGCAATCTAGGCTCATTGCAACCTCTATCTCCTGGGTTTAAGCGATTCTCCTGCCTCAGCCTCCCAAGTAGCTAGAACTATAGTTGTGCACCATCACACCCAGGTAGTTTTCGCATTTTTAGTAGAGACGGGGTTTCACCATGTTGGCTAGGCTGTTCTCTTAACTTCTGATCTCAGGTGAGCCACCTGCCTCAACCTCCCAAAGTGTAAGGATTACAGGCGTGAGCCACCACACCTGGCCTGGGCCTCAGGTTTCTATGAGACCTGCAGAGAAAGGACTTTCTCAGGTTCAGAGGAGATAACAGTGGCCTGTGCCTGGGTGGAAGCCAAGAAGGAAGAAAGGCTGAGTCTATTTTGAGGAGGAGGGAGTGGAACTGCCAATTAGACCTGTCATGAGTCTCCTCCATCTTGGTCACATATGTCGCCCACAGCATGCCACCTGCCCTCTCACTTCACGCTCATGTTCCCCAAACTCACTTGTTTCCTCTTGCCTTCGGCACCCCCGCTGCCGCGGCTGACGCCTATCCTCTGCAGCATCACTTGTACCCGCTGTTCAAAGGATGGAGCCAACTCTGTTTCTCCCCTCTCCAGGGGCCGCCGCTAGGGACAGAGATGCCTGAGTTGGAAACGGCTCATGCCTTGGGTCCCAGAAGCACCCTCACCCCACATTAGCAAGCCTCACCTTGTCAGGTCTGGCACCCAGCATTGCCTCCTCCTCGGCAGGCAACAATATCATCGAGTAGGCCTTGTTGTCCCTTGTGTATCGAGGTCGGCTCCTTCGGGCAGGGTCAGGGCTGCTGGTGTCCCCCTCAGCCCCACCAGGTTCCTCACCACGGCTGGGACGGGTTGGTGGCCGCAGCAGGTCACCAAATGTAGTTTTTCGGGTTCGGGGAGCTGCCCCAGGGCTGGTCTCTAGATCAGGCCGTGGGCCCCGTGTTGAACGAGGCTTCTTGAAGGCAAAGAGGGTGCCCAGCTTCTTTCGCAGTGTACGGGGGACAGGAGTGGTGCCCCCCTCAGTGGCCGGGTCCTCCTCCAGGGCCCAGCTATGGGGACAGTCAGCAGTGAGTGAGAAAGCCCATCAGGCATCCCACCCTCTCCCACCCCCTGAAGATGCCCCTCACTCACAGGCGATCCTGCTGAATCAGCCTTTTGGAGAAGAATTCCTCCACACCCTCGTCCACGCGGGCACTGAGCCCATTCCCTTCCTGCGGCAAGGCTGGGGGCACCTGGAGGGCATCATGGGGTCAGGGGTCAGGGCTGAGTACAACTCTGGCTTTCCCCCCATTCCCTGTCCGGCAGCCTGGCCTGAATAACTCCAGGACCCCAGACTAGGGTGACCCTAGGGGACTGCTGATACCAGCTTCCCACTGTCCGGCTGCTGGACAGACACACCAGATTTCACACACTCCTCACCCGTAGCTGGTTTCTGCACACCCAGCCCACACCCGTCCTTGTCCCACAGTGCATCCTACACACCCTAGACACCTGGTCACCAGCAAGCCTAGCTCCCCCTTGCCCCTGGAGTTATCTCTTCCCACTTGCCACCCGCTCTGCTCCGAACAGTTCCCTGCAGTGTCCCCCACCCCACCCCCACTCCACTCGGCCTGCTGCCGGCTCAGTGGCGCCAGCTGCTGCGTCAGACCCTCTGGGGGCCTCAAGCCAGCTCCTCCCCACCCTCCACCAGTGCCCACTGACCCCGCGGGCTCACAGCCCACACAGGCATCTCCCCACACGTGCCACCGCCGGACACGCAGCAGACGCAGACTTGGCCCCGCGGCCCGGCATCTCTCAGCAGCCCGGGGGAGGGAGGACGGACACTCTCGCGCGCAGCCACCGAGGCCGCGGGCTGCCGGCCGCCCCAGGCGGAGTCCCACAACCAGGCACACCCCGAACGGAACCGCACACACATGGCCTGGGGTGGGGGCGGCCAGGAAGAAGCAGCCAGGATGTGACCATGACCGCATGACCAGGTGGCCTTGGGCCCCTATCACTCCCTCTACTTGACCGCCACCATCCATGAGGAGCGGCCGGGCCACCCGAGACCCCGAAATCCACGCGCTCGGGAGTGGGGGAAGGGTGCTCACCTGGGGGCCCCCCGGCGGCGGACGGTGGTGGTGCTGGCGGCGCGGCCGCGGCCGGGCCCGGGTAGGATGGTGTAGGGGCTGCCCCGCGGATGGCAGGTCCATGCGGGGCAGTGGGCCAGCCGGGGGCCCAGGAGTGGCAGGGCTCGGAGAGCCGCGCGCAGACGGCCCCGCCTGCGGCTCCGCATCTTCTCCCGGAGCCGCCAGCTCGGGCTCCGGCTCTGCTTCCTCAGCAGCACCTGAGGGGACAGCACCAGAAAAGCACAGAACGCTGAGCCCAAGGAGGTGGTGGCGGAGGCGCTAGGGCGGCGGGGGACCCGCCCAGGGCGCGGGGAGGGGCCCGGCTACGGCGCCCGTCCCCCCCCCCCCCCCGCCCCGTCCCTCCGCCCCTCCCCCGCCGCTGTCCGTGGTGCTGAGCGCGGCCCCGAGTGCGCGCGGCTCCGCGCCACCGCCAAGCATGCGCGTCCTAGGGGTAGGGAAAGGGGCGGGGGGAAGCGAGCCGAGCGGGTGTCCTGTCCCTGGTCTGCTCAGGTCTCGCCCCGGGCTGACCACAGCAGATCTCAGATTTGCAGGTTGCATGGGGTTCCTGGCCTGGCTGGACCAGTCAAGGGCTGGGGTGTACCCAGACAAGGCTGAATGAGTTTGTCCAGGTTCCTGGGTGCCCATGTCTAATGGAGCTTCAGCCCACTCAGGTAAACTCCCTCCCCTAAGACCCTGACTTACTGTGAATGAAGGGGACCAGGTGAAGACTGTGGCTGAACTCAGGCCATTTCCGTGCAAGACTGTCATCCTGGTGGGGACGGTACAAACTCAGCCTAGGGTAGGAGAGTACCACCCCAGAAGAGCTGCCTTTCACCTTCCACACTCCAGACCAAGATGGGAAGAATGGGAGTTCTATGCCTCAGGTTCTAAAACCACTTACCTTCTCTTCCTCCTTTTCTTCCTTCTCCTCCTTGGAGAAGAAAAGACCTTCCAATTCCCCGGGCTCAAGGGGGCTGGGTTGACCTCCATTCAGAGCCGGTAGGGAAGGGGGCATTGTCACCATTGCCTGCTGAGCCAGACTCTCCACCTGCAATACCAAGCAGCCAAAGATGGCAGGTAGGGCCTCAGCCATGATCCCATCAGTGCCAAGGGGACCCTGAAATAGCCCTGGGCTACGTGACCCCAGAAATCATTACAGAGCCACTGCAAGGGAGATGACCAAGTTATTGCGTGTGTGTGTTTGCAAGAAAGTGTGCACATCTCCCCCTCACCAGTCGATCCCGGGCTGCACTCAGGCCTGCCAAAGCCTGAGCCACAATGCTCTCTGCCAAGGTCCCGGTGATTGATAGCCGAATGTCCCTAAGGCCAGGAGAGGACAGGGGTTAATGGGCTGGTTTTGCTCAGCCTTCCCCAGCCCAGCCACATCCACCCTACCTGAGCCGAGTCAAGGCATCTTGCAGCAGCTGCTCTGGGAGCAGCTCCGGGAGGCCCCTCGAGCCTGCCAGAACCCCCTCTAAGTGCTCCCTCCAGCTGGATCCCTGTAGCATCTGTGGACAGAGGTTCCTTGCTGTGTCCAGTGTGGCCTGAGTGAAGTCCTAGACAAAGATCAGAGCATAGTGAGGATGTGGCCAGACACCAGGCTGCTGGCTTGAGGCTCCAACTCCAACTGAATATGAGTCAGGGGATATACCAGTTAAAACTATAGGATGGGGGTCAAACCTGCAAATGGTGGTGGGGCTGCGGCAGGAGTACCATCTCACCTGGATGTCCTGGCGGCAGACCTCGCCCACATGTCCCAGAAGGTCCTCCAACTTCTGTCCAAGCTGCCAGTGATAGCTTGGGGAGCTTCCAGCTTCATATAGAATGGGGAGAATCTGAGGGCCAAAGAGGAACAGCAGTTGTAAGATGACACCTGACTAAGAGGGTTGGGTCCTTGTAGCAGGAGGGGGAGTGCTCACACTGAGAGAGAAGTTGGCATTTTGGATGGCATCCTCAGCCTGGCGCACAGCAGCTTCACCCAGGGGCCCAGCCCCACAGCCCAGCAGCTCCACGTGCTCCTGTACTGACTGACACAGTTCATTTACTTCCTGTGGGAGAATAGGGATCAGTCTTAGCCTAGCCCCCTCCCAGTCTCCCAGATCGTGCCTGCCTTCCTCCTAGGCTGTTTAACAGAGTGAGGGAGGTCCTAAAGCTGGCACTATTAGACCAGCCACTTCAGAACTCTATCTGTTCAAGGAGGGAGGGAACTCTCTGTTGCTTTGGTTCATTTTAAGGACTTTATATATACTTCCTAAGTGCCCAGAATAGGAAGGAAAGGAGTTGTAAATTATATCTGTGTTTTAGAAGCTCAATCTGTCCACACACACAGAGGATAGGCTGGGAGAGGGGTGGAAAAGGGAATGAGTGGCCCTGGAGGAGAGGCCAGGAGGAACAAGGGATAATTGGTGTGGGGGTAAGGAGTGGCATGTTTGAAGGTTGATCCAGAGGCAGAACCAAGGAGAGCTATGAGGGCTCCAGTGTGACCAGGAGAGACCTGGAAGGATGCCCCAACCTCTGTCCACAGCATTGGGTGGCTGTGGGCACCAGTTGGATTGGGCTCCAGGGTAGAGAACAGAATTCATGGGAGACGATATCACTTATAGAAGTGCAGAGCATGAAGCCCTGCAGGATGTCTGGATCAAGACCTTTGGAAATGGAGAGGTGGAAACATCTCCAACAGATAAGGTAGCAGAGGAAGATGAAGCCAGAGAAGGAGCAGCTCGGTGTGGGTACACAATGGAGAGGGAAGGGAGCCCTGTATATGTGAAGTCAGAGATGGGGCTATAACTGGGGAGACATTGAGGGAGAACATAAAAATTCCCCTTTAACAGGACAGTCTGTTTACATAAGGTTAGGCAGCCAAGGGTGTTATATGGAGAGCAATTTTAGGAGTGTTTAGCCTCTCCAGATCAAGGAGAAGGACTTTGTCTGGGACAGCAGGGCTCAGGCACCCTGAACCCAGGAAAGTCAGACCCTCTGACTCACGGAGGCTCCCAGGTGCCACAGGTCTCCTCATGCCCTACCTCCCGTGGTTGGGGAGAGGATACTGACCTGCTCTGAGGGGTCTGAGACCAGACTGAGTGGCTGAAGGTGGGTCGTGTGATCAGAAGAGGCAGGGTCTGCACGGTTGTTCCTCAAGAGACAGGCTTGGATCTAGGGGCAAGGCGTATTGAGAAATGCCGAGGGAGGGATATGGTGCAGGTGCAGAGAAGGGCAAGGGAGGAGGCCGAAGCCCACCTGATGGACTGCACGTGCTGTCAATTCTGGGCGGCTGCGCTGTGCCTGGGCCAAGTCATTCAGTGGCAGAGGCATGGCCTTCAGGGTGTGGTTCTGCTCCAGCGCCTGCGCCACGTCCAGCAGGCCCAGAGCAGATGTGTGGTTCCGGTCCCAGACCACAGACCTGGGCCGGGCCTGGCTTCAGTCGGGAGCACAGTTCCACAACGCCCTACCCAACCCTCGGCCTCGTCCTTTCGCCTCCTCCACTAGCTTCATTTGCTCCGCCTCATTCAGTCCCGCCCTTAACACGGTGCCCTCCTCTCCACCGCGCCCCCTGCCCGCTGGTCCCACCCCTCTGACCCCGCCCACCGGAGCCTCGAGTTGACCCGCAGCGCCTTGGCCAGCAACTTGGCGCCCGCGTCCCCCACGGCGTTGCCGCTAATATCCAGCGCGGTCAGGTTAGGATTGGTGGCCAGGGCCCGGAGTAGGACGCTGGCGCCCAGCTTCAGCCGAGACTCAGCCACTGACAGAGACTGAAGAGGCTGGGATTAAGAGAAAGCCATTGATGGCTGGAGTCAGGGGTCGGTAAGGGCAAGTCAGAGGGTCCGAGGGAGCAAGAGAAGGGAGGATCAAAGGGGTCTAATTGCCCGAGGACCCTGCAAGGTCCGGTGAACTCACACAGTCGTCGTCCTGCATGAGCTGGACAATCCGGTGCAGGACGTCGTCCAGGGTCTCCCTGTGGGCAGGGACCGTGGTTGTGGGGGACAGGGATGGTGGGGTGTCATCTGGGAGGCCCAGGAATGGAGGGGGGCTCACTTGCACCGGACATTGAAGTTCCTTCCAAGCGCCACGTGTCTTAGGGACCGGCTTCTCCCAATGGCCAGCACCAGAGTCACCATGTCCGAGCCAAAGCCTGAGGGTGACTCGGGTCACGCACGAGGCGAAGTTGCAAGGGCAGGGTGGGGACTGGGAATCAAGTGGATGATGCGTGGTTGGGCTTCCCTGCGCCCTCACCGTTATCCGCCAGATCCAGGGAGCTCACAGCGCCTGCGTCGCACACTAAGTCTTGTATCACCTGGGCGCCGGCCGAGCGCAGCTGGAGGAGGGAGGTGGGAGGCGGGACCTACTCAGGCCACAGGTGGAGAGAGGCTGGCGGCCCACGGTCCCACTCCCCGCCTCCCAGCGCCATTCCCAATGTGTGGTCTCTTCTGTGGCCGGCGCTCACCTCGCAAGCGCTGAGGTCCAGATGCAGGTCGCGGAGGTGCGTGTTGAGCGCGAGGCCATCCAAAAGGGCCCTGGAAGGGGACGTTACAGCAGATGGCAGGAGCTGGGACAGGGGGCTCCAGGGTGCAAAGTAGGCAGGGCTAGGATCTGAGGGAGGCTGTGGGCGCGACAGGAGCAGGAACAGGGAGGGGCGGAGGCCGGGGAGGGGTGGGCGCTCCCGCGGGGGCGTGGCCCGAGTCAGACATTGACCTGAGTGCGTCGGGCGGCAGCTTGCAGCCCGCCAGGCCCAGGTGCCGCAGCGTTCCCGAGCGGCTGAGGAAGAGCTGCAGCGCGGCCGGCGGGGCGTGGGACTTCCTGGGGGGGGAGCGGGAGAGTAGGTTTAGGGGCAAGGAGGCGGCTTCCAGCAGCCTCCCCCGGCCCCGACAGGTCCCACTTACGTGCGGGAGAAGACGTTCCTCGAAGCATCGAGGTGGGTAAGGCTGGCGCAGCAGCCGCGGGACAGCGCTGTGAAGAGCTGCAGGGAGAGGGTATTGGCTGCACCTGCGGGGGGACCGAGCCCTCCTCGTCCCGCCCCACCCTCCAGTCCGCTCTGCAGATCATCCCTTCCCCCACGGAGCAACCCCTCACAATGTCCAGGGCGGTGTCGGTGCCTGCGAGGTTCAGGAATGACAGCGCGTTAGGACGGCTCAGGAAGGTATAGAGGCCCTGGTGGGAGGACAGGGGCGGGATGGCGTCGGTGATCGCCTACCCAGGGCTTCCAAGCAACCTCAAACTCTCACCTTCAAGACAGCCACTCACCCCACTGTCCTCGGAGGGTCCTAGCACCCCGGGGTTCCCGGAAAGGTCCAGGTGGGTCAGAATGGAGTCGAAGGCAGCATTGGTGGCCAGTGCCTGGCCCAGAGCCCTCATTCCTGGTGATGGGGTAGGGTGGTTCAGCAGTTGGGCGGGCAGAAGGCAGACCCCCACCTTTTCCCTTCACCCCCTCCCTCATCCAGTATACCTCTCGGTGTCAACCCTGTCTGGGCGAGATTGAGTCTCCTCAGGGCTCCTGGACAACGCTCCAGGTATCTGCTGAGTGCAGCCATGCCTGCGGGGGGGGGGGGGAGCAGCCACGTGGGTCTCACCTCCTCCCACCCCGCCCCTGCGGTCCCCAGGCTCAGCCATACCTCGGTCATCCAGCAGGTTCCCCGCCAGGCTGAGCTCCCGCAGCCCAGAGCTTGAGTGTCCCGCCAGCACCTGGGCCAGTCGTCGGACAAAGTCTCTGGGGACCAGACCCCAGGCATGAGACTCTGCCCCTGGCTTGCCAACCCCTCCCTAGGCCACTAGTCCTCAATCTCAAGCCCCCAGACTCTCCTCTCCAAGCCCTGCCCTGCCCTGCCCCCTCACCCCCTTAGGCCGCAGGTCTCCAGCACCAGCTCCTCTAGGTGGGATGACTGGCTCATCATGTGCAGAATCTGTTCGGAGACCTCAAGGCTCTGAGAACCAGAGGGTGGTGGCTCAGCAGGCTGCACCCTGGCCCATACCCCTTGGTTCCTCCCTGCCCTTATATCCCCCACCCCCACACCAGCTTCATGTCCACACAGGAGAGGCACCGGAACCACAGGTTGTAGGATAGGGCAGCCACACTCAAGGCCAGGTCCCTGGTGGGAGGGTGGGAAAGGAGGCAGAGCTCAGGGCCCTCCAGCCAGGTCCCAGGCCCAGCAGCCCCTCCATGAAAAAGCTGAGGCCCAGGGATATGGGCCCCAGGCTCTTCCTCCTCTCCCATCCTGGCAGGCCACACACCGACTGCTGAGGTGGCTGAAGTCTCCCAGGCTGAAATGGCGGCACCCCTGGCGATGGTAGATGGTGTCCACATCCTGGACAAGGAGGAGATGCTTACAATTCGCTTGGGGCCACAAGGGGCAGGGAGGCACTCAGCACACATAGGGGACCAGATGTCTCCAGAGCCCACAAAAAGGGTCCTACTCTCACCCACTGGATCTCCTCTCGGAAAGGGAAGCCATTGTAGTCACACAGAGCCTCATATGTCTCCAAGAAGCCACCTGGAGGGAAGGAGATAGACAAAAGGTCAGCAATGGAGGAAGACCAGCCCCACAGGCCAGGTGGTGGCTGTGACCTGAATGGCTCTGTTCATTTAGGGGCCCTCCAACTTGGGGGCCTAGGAGGCAGAGGTGGGCAGGCCGGAAGGCCTGTGGCCCTGCCTTGACCCTTACCACAGGGGCTGCAGGTGTCAGTGGACTCCAAAGGGCTGCTTCTCTCCAGCCGAGCCAGCATGGAGGCGGGTGTGGGCCTCCGGAATAGCTTCCTGGGAGGGGGTTAAGGAGAAGGGGGCAAGGGGCTTCCAGCCTCTGGGCTGGGAAGCAGCCCATGTGTGCCCTTCTCATGCACTCCCTCCTCCCCTGCCAGCCCCTTGAATTTGCCAGGACTCACCCAAGGGTCGAGCAAGGGAAGACCTTCTTGATGGCCACTGCCACGTGCTGGGCCAGTTGTTCTAGGGCAGCCACACCAGGAAACTCCAGGACCAGCTCACGCAGGGACTCCAGCTCAAAGGTGACCTAGGGAAGGGGGACTACTGGGCTTCGGCTGCACATATGGGCACAGGGGATGGTGGGGGCATGAAGACCAGGCTGCAGGCCCAGGTAGGGTACTAGGTATCTCACCTGAGGGGGTGTCTCCTGCAGTGCCATGGCCTGGACCTCCAGGTAACTGAATGTACAGTCCACCTAGGAAGCACCGAGATCAGCTGGGACCGAGCCCCAAGCCCCGCCCTCATGGAAGCCCAGTTATTTGGGCACCCTAGAACAGAGCCAGACCTGCCTGGACTCCACTCCTGTCAGCTGTCAGGAGCCCAGGGCTGGTGCAAAGTCAGGGCCCACAAGGCCAAGAAGGAACACACTGCAGATGCAGCCCCTTGCCAGGGTAGCTGCTGGGGTTGTGGAGGGGTGTGCGTGGCCAAGTCCTGGGACTCACCCTCAGCGGGAGGCAGGTGGTATGCAGCAGGTAGGCTCTCCATCGTAGCAGTGCCTGGGGAAAAACAGTCTGATACCCTGGGCAGAGCAAGCTGCTCTTTCTGCGGGGCCACAGCTGCCTCCCCAGTTCTGCCCCCTGCCCCGTACCAGGACATGGTTTTGCACAGCACCCTCCCCAGGCAGCCAGGTTTTCAGCAGCAGCTCCACCTCCTTGGGCCACAGGAACCTGGTGATCTCGCCTGCGGAAGGGCAGCCTGCTGGATGACTTCTGTCCCTGCACAGAAGCCACTGGTGCCCTAAGTCTGTGCCAAGCTGGGGCCCTGGGGCTTTTCTGTGGCCATCGAGGAAGGAGGGGAGAGGATCTGGAGGGCCCACCCTCCTGGGGAGCAGAGAGGACCTCTGGCCTAGCCCTCCAGGGTGCTGGGTGGGCCTCAGATTCTGGGGCTGCACTACTTCCTCCCAAGAAGGCGGAAAGGGCCAGCACTTACCTCGCAGCTCACAGGAGATGCCGTCGGGGTTCTGGGCCATGGGCCGGGCGGGCCGGGGCGGCCCAACGAGCTCTGACGGGAAACAGCAGCAGATGGGTGCGTACACAGGAAGCCTGGGACCCAGACACGGCAGCCACCTGCTCCCCCAGCGGCGGAAGGTGTGCGCCGCTTCCTGCCAGGCCGTCCCCCGGCCCGGCCCGGCCCCTCCCCACACGGGCCTCGCGGCCCGAAAGCTCGCCCAGGAGCGGAGTTGTGGGACGGGGACCGAGTCCCACCTGCCTGCCTGCCCCGTCGCCCAGGAGCTTCTCCACCTAGGTTAGACGTCGGGGTAGGGAGTGGAGTGGCCAGGAGGGTCGAGTGTGTCGTGTGCCTCCAGCGGGTCCTAGCTCCCTGCTTCCACCCCTCCCCCGCAGTCCCTGCCACTAACACCAGGGGACGCTGCCTGCCCGAGGATCCCCGCGGCCGACCCGGGCTGGCCCCCTCCAAAGCCCAGGCTGAGGAGGTGGACCAGGCGCCTGGTGGAAGAGGGACTGTTCAGCAAGGAGCACCCGATCTTTGCCAACACCGAGGGTCCTGCCCGTTGCTCCCAACCGGGAGTCCAAAAGAGATTTTGAGTGGGTGGGAAAAAATGCCAGATGGGGCTGGGTGCCGTGGCTCACGCCTGTAAACCCAGCACTTTGGAAGGCCCAGGCAGGAGGCGGAGTTGGAGACCAAGCTGGGCAACATAGGGAGACCCTATCTCTATAAAAAAAATTAGCCAGTGTGATGGCGTGCATCTGTAATCCCAGCTACTTAGGAGGCTGAGGTGGGAGGATCACTTAAGCTTGGGAGGCAGAGGTTGCCGTGAGCGGAGATCACACCATTGTACTCCAGCCTGGGCAAAGCCAGGTCCCGTCTCAAAAAACAAACAAAAACCTGATGGGTCCAGACGCCCTTCCTTGCCAGAGGTGGGGTCAGGGCCGAAGGTGAGGGTGTGCTCGGTGTCTTCAGTGGGGCAGCCTGGGACTAAGGTGAGCCTTGAACCCCAAGCACTTCATGGAGCACACGAGTGAGTTGTCCACGTACATAGGGGTCTTCCTGTGTCTGCCTTCTCCCCAAACTGGAGGGAATTTGGGAGGGGGAAGCCAGACAGAGAGATAAGCTAGTGGCTCCAGGGCTGAGAGGGGTAAGAAATAGGGTGTGGCCTGCTACCTGTTGCCCTCTAAAAGACTAGGGCCTAGATTCTAGAAGGTTCACAGGAAGAGACTGCATTTTTTCCTTCTATTACAATCTAAACTTAAGTGATAAGGAGCAGCAGTCTATCCTGCCCATAGCTCAACAAGGTGGAAATGACAAGGAAATGACAGCTAGGGGTGACAGGGGATGGGTTAGCTGGAGAGGATGCTGCACAGAGAGTTCCTGCTGCCTCCCAGATTGAAGAGACATACTTTGAGACAGAGTTTGCTTTGTGGCCCAGGCTGGAATGCAGTGGCACAATCTAGGCTCACTGTAGCCTCCACCTCCCAGGTTCCAGTGATTTTCCTACCTCACCCTCCCAAGTAGCTGGGATTACAGGCGCCCACCACCACGCCCGTCGAATTACTATCATTATTTGTGACAGAGTTTCACTCTTTTGCCGAGGCTGGAGCGCAATGGCGTGATCTTGGCTCACCTGCAACCTCCACCTCCCAGGTTCAAGTGATTCTCCTGCCTGAGCCTCCCAAGTAGCTGGGATTACAGACATGCACCACCACACCCAGCTAATATTGTGTATTTTTAGTAGAGACGGGGTTTCCCCGTGTTGGTCAGGCTGGTCTCAAACTCTCAACCTCAGGTGTTCCGCCTATCTGGGCCTCCCAAAGTGCTAGGATTACAGGTGTGAAGCCACGGCGCTTGGCCCTATTATTATTTTTTAGACAGAGTTTTGCTCTTGTTGCCCGGCTGGAGTGCAGTGGCATGATCTTGGCTCACTGCAACCTCCACCTCCCAGGTTCAAGCAATTTTCCCCCCTCAGCCTCCCAAGTAGCTGGGATTATAGGCATGTGTCACCATATCCAGCTAATTTTTGTATTTTTAGTAGAGATGGGGTCTCATCATGTTGGTCAACCTCGTCTCCAACTCCTGACCTCAGGCAATCCACCCAACTCAACCTCCCAAAGTGGTGGGATTACAGGCATGAGCCATCATGCCTGGCCACAAAGAGACATAATTTGGATAAAGAACTAAGACTCTAAGACTACACAGAATCCTCAAACTCCTTGTAGGATAACAATTCAGTAGGTCTCACACAGTACTGCCAAAGGACCAAGAACACAGGTCTGGCCAGTGGTTCATGCCTATAATCTCAGCACTTTGGGAGGCTGAGGTGGGCCAATCACCTGAGCTCAAAAGTTCAAGACTAACCTGGCCAACATGGTGAAACCCTGTCTCTACTAAGATACAAAAAATTAGCTGAGCACAGTGGTGGGCACCTGTAGTCCCAGCTACTGAGGAGGCTGAGACACGAGAATTGCTTGAGCCCAGGAGGCAGAGGTTGCAGTGAGCCAAGATCTTGCCACTGCACTCCAGCCTGGGGGATAGAGCAAGACTCCATCTCAAAAAAAAAAAAAAAGTAGGTTCTGCAGGCACACTGCCTAGATTTTGACACTAAACAAGTTACTTAGCCTCTCTGGTCTTCCAGTTTTGTCTGTAAACTGGAGCTATTAACTTACCTCAAGCCTTGCTTTAAGGATTCAACGTTTATTAAGGGAAGAGCCCACAACAGTGCCTGGCACGCAGATAACACTCACATTTGCCAAGTCTACCATGACAACCCAGGAATTCCAAAACAGAACTACAGAAAATCCACCTCACTGGGATTTTTCTGTTTAGAATGATGAGGAGAGATGAGAGCAGTGACTGCCAAAAGGGCTGGAGCTGTGCCCAGATGGAGGGCCTCTGGAGACCACAGCGACCCCAGTGGGGCCAGTCCCTGTGTGGGTGAGCACACAGGGGCAGGCAGGGATGACTGAGAGATCAGGCCAGGCTTTCAGGGCTAGGCATGTGGCTGCTGGCGGTCAGGGCAGTGGTAACACCGCAAACCTGATCTCAGAGACCAAGTGAACACATGGGACTCAGTTCTTACAAGTGACAGTGACTCAGTGAGAGGCCATCAGCTTGTTAAAGCGCGTCTATGTTCTGGAAAGCTTGCCACTCCATGGATATTCAGGAAATGCCAAAGCTTTTGAGAACATCAGCCTCGCCTGCTCTGGGTAGCACAGACTGAGGACACGACTTGTCTCTCAGGTGGGCTGGGCTACGTGGCCTTGGTGCTGCCACAAGACTCACCTCGAATGATTTTCGAAGACCAGGTCCTGACAGGCCAGAGAAGGGCTCAGGTACTTGCTGTGCTGGGCAGCAATAGGGTGATGCCAGCCCAGGGGTGGGAAAGGGCATAGCTTCTTTACTTCTGTGGCTTAACACTGAGGGAGCTGCACGAAGGTTCAGGAACTTCCCCATCAACAGTTCTTGGGGCAGAGTAACAGTGAGAACTGGCTTCTGCTGCTGAAGGTTTGTTTTTTGTTTTTAAGAGTTTAGAAATGGAGGTTTAATAGGCAAAAGAGAGGAAGAGAAGGGAAAACAGCTCTCTCTTGAGTGAGAGAGGGGACTTCTGGGAGGAAAATAACCTGCTGAAGGTTTTATAATTAATGGTTAGATAGGATGCATCCTGGGCTATGCAGCAGGAGGATCTCTTTTCAGCCTTAACTCCATCAGAATGTCAATTATCTTGCCCCTTCCCCAGCTAAAACAAATATATTTTTAAATTTTCTAACAGGCTGGGCAAGGTGGCTCATGCCTATAATCCTGGCACTTTGGGAGGCTGAGGCAGGTGGATCACCTTAAGTCAGGAGTTGAGACTAGCCTGGCCAACATGGCAAAACCCTGTCTCTACTAATACAAAAAAATTAGCTAGGCATGGTCTCTATAAAAATACAAAATAGCTGAGCACGATAGTGCACACCTGTAGTCCCAACTACTCGAGGGGCTGAGGCAGGAGAATTGCTTGAACCTGGGAGGTGGAGGTTGCAGTGAGCTGAGATCACCATTGCACTCCAGACTTGCCTTTTCAAAAAAAAAAAACCAAAACAAAACACCTTTCAAACAATGTATACAATCAGGAATGACAGGCTGTATTGGACACAGAAAAACAGCCTTGTTCTGCAAAGAGGTTATATATGCTTAGGTGGGTGAGCATGGTGGTTCACGCCTATAATCCAGCACTTGTGGAGGCTGAGGCAAGAGGATCACTTCAGTCTAGGAGTTTGAGACTAACCTGGGCAACATACCAAGACCCGATCTCTACAAAAAGCTTAAAAAAAAAAAAAAAAACAAAAAACCAGGCCGGGCGCGGTGGCTCAAGCCTGTAATCCCAGCACTTTGGGAGGCCGAGGCGGGTGGATCCTGAGATCAAGAGATCGAGACCATCCTGGTCAACCTGGTGAAACCCCGTCTCTACTAAAAATACAAAAAATTAGCTAGGCATGGTGGCGTGTGCCTGTAATCCCAGCTACGCCGGAGGCTGAGGCTGGAGAATTGCCTGAACCCAGGAGGCGGAGGTTGCGGTGAGCCGAGATCGCGCCATTGCACTCCAGCCTGGGTAACAAGAGCGAAACTCCGTCTCAAAAAAAAAAAAAAACACAAACCCAAAAACAAAAATGAGCCAGGTGTGATGGCCTGTAGTCCCAGGAGACTAAGGTAGGATTGCTTGAGCCTAGTTCAAGGTTACAGTGAGCTATAATTGTGCTACCATATCCCAGCCTAGGTGACAAGACTGAGATCCTGTTTCAAAAAAACCTTGGAATTAAAAAAAAAGTTGGGGCCAGGTGTGGCGGCTCACTTAAGGTCAGGAGTTCAAGACGGGTTTGGCCAACATGGTGAAACCTTATCTCTACTAAAAATACAAAAATTACCTGGGCATGGTGGCAAGTGCCTATAATCCCAGCTTCTTGGGAGGCCGAGGCAAGAGAATCCCTTGAACCCAGGAGGTGGAAGTTGAAGTGAGCTGATATTATACTATAGCAAGATGATTTTCCACTAATGAACAAGATTCCAAACACGACATAACTCCCTTTCCACCCACCTTCCTGGGCTGCTAACAGGCAGCTCTACTATCTAGGAGGGTCTCCTCACTACCCGGTAGTTGTGCATCTGTCTCTCCTTTCAAATGAACTTCTCTAGGGTAGGCTGGGCCTAGCTTCTCTCTGTTCCCTCACACCTGGCAGAGCTCCAGGTACTGATCCCAGCCCTCCTTGAGTGGAGATCCTGAGTATAGAACTTTCCATCAGCCCCTTTCACTCTAAGCAGCTCTATGGCCCACCTACTCAAGTGGATCACAGAAGCTATGGCTGCTGTCCATCTACTCACCTCTCTGCTCACACACACTTTTGGGGGAGTAAAAAGTTATAGCAGGATGCACTCAATATCCAGTCACCTGCCAAGATCATCTCCTCCCATCTGCTAGAGGAAGTACCATCCTAGGGAACAGAGGTTGCCTGTGAAAGGCAGAAGCCTGCACAGCCTGGAAACCATGTAAGCAGCCCCCCAACCTCCCTCAAGCAGGCAGGAATTAAGCAAGATGGAGTCTTTGGAGCACTTGTTAATCCGTTATGATTTATTAGCTGTACAGCAGTAGATCCTCCTCCCCAGCTTTCAACCCCATTACATATTTTATTACAGGTCTCATGTTGGCATCCTAAAATAATGAAAAATATCACACAGTACAGCTAAGTACAAAATGCATCAACCTAGAGTCTGATAGCTAACTGATGGCTCTCTTAAAAGCAATACACAGAAGAAAAAAGTGTTTGAAATCAGTAAGACTGAGGCTCTCTAAAAAACACATTTTTAAACATGTGACGGTTCATGTGCAAGAATCACTTTTTAGTTGGTTTTGCTTCACATTATTTTTTGAAGATCCAAAGTTTAAATTACTGACCTAGTGAAATTTTCTGGCCCAGCTTTATAAGGGCTGCTGTGACCCACTCATAATCAGCCTTCTGCTTTAACAGAAGATTTATAAAACACAGCATTCAGCTACAAACAGGGCAAAGAAAATGTCGATGGGAAATCATAACTCAAAGTTAATTGTATAAGGTTCAAATGCTGGCTCCGTGGGCTGGAAATCATGATCTGCCACGTGGGTGTCCGTCACTGGCGGGCAGTGCCATTCTGCTACATGATTGTGATCCAATTCCTTGTCAACATTTACTCACTACAGAGTCTGTGGCAACTTAATTTGCAAGTAATTAAAATGCTGGGTTTTCTTACACTGCACTTCTTTTCAACCTCTTAATTAATGGAAAAGATTAAAATGTAAAAAAAGTTATTTACAAGCTTGACCATACCAGAAACTTTGCCAAGAAAGAGGCAAAGCTTTCAGGACAGAACCTGATCGTAGCATGCCATACTACTGGTGTGCAGCTGACTCCAAGCAAAGGGAGTCAAGGAAAAGCAAAAGCAAAAAACAGTTTAAAAGTCTAAGTCCTTCCCAAGTATACATTTACAATTAAAAACTCTCTTGGGAAGAAGACCATAGAACTCTGGGAAGCCTGGTGGCCATTCTGGAGTGGTTTACCACATGGAGGGAGGGGTCAATGTCTCCGTTTCCATCTAGAAACGAGTTAGTCGTCAACACTGTCCTCAGCACTTCACAGTAAACCCTCGGGGACTCAGAACATTCCATGATTTGCTAACATCAGACAGCAAATTCTAGTTAAATCACATTTTTTCTAACATCAGCGTTGAAGTTTTCGTTCTTGGTATGTTTGGTAAAATGGGCTTCTTTTCCCAAAGCCAAAAGAAAGAAGGGAGAAAAATTAAGATGCAGGCCGTTTAAACACAGCCCAGAGCAGTCCTGGTGATGCATAAGGCTCCGCCATCACCGGTCCATCATGCTGAGGATCATCTCGGGCGTGAGGTCTCCATTGGGGGCATCTGTGGCAGCTGGCTGGGCCTCCTCTTCCTCCCCCTCTGCGGGCTCAGCATCTGGCTCTTTTTTTACTTCAACTATAATGTTCTCAATTGCACCTGTATTCTGGTCTTCAACCTGAATGATGGCTGTTGCTGGCAAAGAAGAGCACAGACAGAACAAATGGTGCAGTAAAGCCCCAAGAATCACAAGGGTCCTTTAGATTGACAGTGAATGAGATGTCAGCAATGCAGGAAAGCCTTATTAGCTAGCAATCCACAGAAAGTCAATTTAAAGAGCCCCCGCCCTTTCTTTTTTTAAGGTGGAGTCTCACTCTGTCACCCAGGCTGGAATGCAGTGGCACAATCTCAGCTCACTGCAACCTCTGCCTCCTGGGTTCAAGTGATTCTCCTGCCTCAGCCTCCCGAGTGGCTGGGACTGCAGGGGTGCGCCACCACGCCCAGCTAATTTTTGTGTTTTTAGTAGAGATAGGGTTTCACCATGTTGGCCAGGATGGTCTCAATCTCTTGACCTTGTGATCCACCAGCCTCGGCCTACCAAAGTGCTGGGAATCATAGGCATGAGCCACTGTGCCTGGCTAGAAAGCCAATTAAAGGGCTAGGTGTGGTGGCTCATGCCTGTAATCCCAGCACTTTGAAAGACTGAGGCAGGCAGATCACCTGAGGTCAAGACCAACATGGTGAAACCCCGTCTCTACTAAAAATACAAAAATTATCTGAGCATAGTGGCAGGAACCTGTAATCCTAGCTTCTTGGGAGGCTGAGGCAGGAGAATAGCTTGAACCCAGGAGGTAGAGGTTGCAGTGAGCTGAGATAGTGCCATTGCACTCT